CCTGCTTATGAACTCTTGTCAACATCTTTGGCTACACATCAGCACAACTTGTCAGGTCCGGAAGTCATTCAAGCCGCATGGGGTTGCTGGGCAACATGGGCGCATGTTCCCCGCAGCCAAACATGTGGAGCTCTGACTTTTATCTGCATCCCGTCCGCCGCGCCTTCCCCTTCCGCCTCCTCCTCACTACACTGACTCATCTCACGGCATCTCAACCCACACCAACTCAACGCGCACCAACTCGTCTCACACCAACTCAACTCACACCAACTCATCTAACACCAACCTGCACTCATGAACCAACTCACTCGCTCACGTTCACGCGCTCCTTGCGTTTCCCTACGCCAACTGTGCGTCGAGATGGAAGGTTCTGCGAGAACGCACCACCAACGGTGGCCGAGCGTCGGCTGGCCCTCTCCCCCGGTCGGCTTGGGTGGCGCCGTTGAGGCTCGGAAACGGCCGTCTGCCGTTGTTGCGCTGTGCGAAGACCAGCTCAACTCAACTCCGCTCCGCTCCACCCACCCACCCACCCACTCACTCGCTCACTCTGTCTATCTATCTATCTATCTATCTATCTATCACTTTCACTCTACCACTCCCACTCACACTCACAGTCGAAGCAGCTCACACAATCGCGCTGAAGCAGCTTGCCTCTCAGCTGCACATGCTGCAGCGGGGAAACTGCAGGGTCGAAGCCTCGGCTGTTGGCACGAAAGTTCGGAGAGATCCAAAATGGAGTAAATGCTTTGATATGCTTGGAAAAAGTATGAAAAAGTGAGGTTTGGTGGAACACTGGAACACTGCAACTTCTGGAGCGGCTGTGTTTGCAGTTGGACTTTGGATAGCCAAGTTAGATGTGCTTTTCGCCTGTTCCCTCCCAACTCATTGCGCCACGAAGGTCTCGAAGGGTCCGACCGGCGCGGCGCAGGGCGCGAGCTCGGCGGAGCGGCGCAGGTCGCGAGCTCAATGGAGCTCGCATGTGGAGATGGGTGGGTGAGCCCTGAAGAAAGTTCCAACTTTCGTTCCATGTTCCTTTTTACTAGGAACAAGGACGCTACTAGTAGCTCCTGGCCTTACTACTAGGAACAAGAAGCTTCTAGGAACAAGGGCATCGCTACTAGGACCAAGGACGCTACTAGTAGCTTTCGTTCCATGTTCCTTTTTACTTCTAGTTCTCGGTGTATCTTCCCATCAAAATCTACCCTCCATACGGTCCATACGCCCCAACAGCGCGACAGAAGAGACAACGACGGACCAAGCCAAGGAACAAAGGACCAAGCCACAGCTTGGGATGTCAATGCCTTCTGCTAGCACAGATGTGGCCACGACAATGGACACAGACCCCTCCTGCGGCGGGCAAAGCTGAGGGATGCAGAGGAAAGAAGACGTGGACCCCAGCTGACATGCTTCCGGTCATTGCTTCCGAGATCTGATTGAGCAATCAATTTTTTTTGTGCGGGGTCAGCGGTCAACTCAAATCTGGATCGAAGAATTTGTCTTGCTCCCAGACCAGACCGCATCATACCGCATCATGAGTCTTCACCATAGCTGCAAAGAGATCAACTCCGACCAAAGAATACCCAAACCAGCATAACTCTCTCCAGAGACCATCATGCGAAGCATTCCCGGCTGTATTGAGATGCACCCGGTGCTCTCTCACAACCCAAATGAGAGGTCAGTGTGCCAAAGTTTTTCTTTAATCCAACTTCTGTCATCCTCACTATATAGAATCACTAGAACTAAGCAGGACCAGTGCTCCACCTGGGTGAGAAAACATCTCTTCCTCCCAGCCTCATGTGAACGTGCAAAGCTGGCGAGCACCTGCTTCTGCGAGGACACCGTCTGGCGAATCTTCCACGCGCCTAGGATGGAGACAGTGACGCCTTTGGCCCAGCAACCCGCAACCGTCGTGCTGTCCACGGGTTGACATGTTGGACGTTCACATGTTCACGAACGTCACAAGGGCATCGCTGCTAGGAACAATGGCAGAAGCTACGAAGGTAGCAAGGACGCTACTATATAGTAGCTATTTGCTACTATATAATTAGTAATGCCCTTTGTTACTAGTAGCGATGCCTTTGTAACTTGTCATATATAAAGAATCGAACGTGTTCACATGTTTTAACCCACATGGTTGGCCGGAACCAAATCTTCGCTGGTGCGAACTCCTGTGCACATCGATGGTTGAGTCGAGGGTCAGGGGGGAACACCCTGCGAAGGAGAATTGGCTTCCTGCGATGAGTCATGTGCAATTTTCGGATGCGTTCAGCAGCCAAGTGTTTGCTGCATGACGCCTGGTCAGCTCCGCATGACCCATGCATGACCCATGCTGCCAATGCTCACTGTGCAGAACGATTGCTGCCAACCACATAGTTCACGAGGGGCAGCCCTTCCTCCTCTTGCAGCACCAGGGCCAGAAACTGGCAGCATAGGCGCGTCCTGATATGCGCATCTTCTTCAGCTCAAATGCGCAGTTGGTCCTAGAACCTTAGGTTTGGTTTGGCGATGATTCCTTAGGTTTGGACCTATTTCAAGGAAGCAATGCTGCCAGTGGCAGCATCCTCTTCAAACTTTCCTGGTGTACAATCTTAGCTCCCTCACCTGGCAGAGGGAAGTTTACCATTGAGGCAGCAAGCACTCCTGGTGAAGACGATGCATCTCATATCTTCTCCCTCTCCCTGACACGGCGAATCATGGGAAAAGAACGGATCAATGCTTTTTACGGGCTAGCCTAGCCACTGGCTTCCAGGGGAACAAAAGGGTTCAGCTCGAACCACCCTTTTCAAGCATCACTGTTCTGGCCCCCAAAAACGGCTGTGAGGTCTTCGCCTCTCGTTTCTTAGCGACCATGCCACCCAGAACAGCGTCAAGCAAGCGTCGTCGTAGCGTTTGCAGGTGGATGTCGAAAACCGGCGTCCCACCAACTCGCCCCACCCAAACCACGAAAGGCCCAGCAGAAGCGAGCGAAAGGCCCAAGAACCACAGCACCTCGAAGCGTTCCTTCAGCTTCGCGACGCAGGCGTGAACTTTCTGGTGCAGGAGCTTCTCGGGGTGCTCCTGCAGCCACTGCCTCAGCAACAGAGGTGCTGGGCAGATACCACCTTGCACGGCCGCTTTGTTGGGAGGAGAATGGACCGAAGAAAGAACCCGCACACGTGAGGAACTGAGGAACATAGTCCCCCAACTCTTGCACCTTGGTCGTGTCGAATGTCTCAATCTGAACCACAAATCTACAGTATATGTGTCTGCCAAAAGTGCTACTAAAATGAACAAGCTGGTTGCTATGAAATCAGACAAAACATGACTGGTAGCTTGCAGGATTCAGGTCACCTTTGGAGCGCCGCGCTCGGAAAATTCGAGCGGTTCAGTCCATTCCCCACCCCGGCAGAGTGGTGAATCGCTGAGACAAACGCAAGTCAAAGCGAGTGTCCCTCTCAAAGCGAGTCACGACACTTTCTGCCGCAGCTGATCCTTGGCAAATTGCAGCTTCTCCTGCAAGCAAGCCCAGCTTGTCCCCTCAGCCTGCTTGCCACCTCCCATCTGCCAGGTCAACCCCCCTGAAAGAATTTGTTGGTCTCAATCTGGGAATCTGTTCAACCGATGTGATGAGGCTTGGCTAGATCTCTTCCAGCTGCTTGTGCTGAACGCACGCGCCCACCGGCGCGAAGAGGTGCTCAAGAAGGAAGGCAGTTGGGTTGTCACATGTTTCTTATTGCAAGGGAGTGTCAAATCAAACAAGTGGAGATGAAAGCACCCCAAGTAAACCCCAAGTGCAGTGGTCTTCCAATTGGACAGCACCTGCCGGTGATGATGTTTTATGCTCCACCTTCCAACTCAGCAGGTCTTCCAACTCAGCTGGTCTCCTGGGTCTCCTTCGGTGAGTCGGTCTCCTTGGGAGTCTCCTCGCTCCGGTGTCCAACGTGCGGAACGTGTGCAGAACATGCTGAACGAGTCCAAAACGCCAAGAAACCAGCAGAGGCTCTGCATGTGTTTTCCCAGCAGAGGCCTCGTCATCTTCAAGCAGAACATCTCCCTGAAGGCCAGCAGAGGTCTGAAGGCCAATGGAGAGTTCACCAGAGCTTGGCTTCTTTAGCGGTCAAAGGACTCTTTGCAGGCGAAAACAAGCGAGCCGGTTTCAACGGCGGTACCTTTCAGCATCGGTTGAAACGGGGTGGACATCCTCCACACACCCATCTGGGTACCTTTCAACTCGCCTCTGCGATAGAAGTTTCATCCTATTGAAATGGTCTAAACTGTCTATATTATATAATACAGTAATTCTATTAGACAAGGTACTCGCCTGGGTATCTGATAGTGCTTTCATCATATATCATCCTATTTCATCCAACTTCGCCTCAGTCTGTCACCCACAATTTTGGGTCACGGCCTCCATTTGAGACAAGAGCTGAAGTCCCTGCACTACAGCCCATTCGCCCAGTTCCTCTGTGGCCAAGACCTGCGCGGAAAAGAAAAAACCGGCGGCTTGAAATGAATGGATCCATTGAGGGCTTAGAAGGAAGGGACTTTTCCCGGGTGCTTTACCAAGCTAGGGAAACATCGGAGACCAAACATTCTCTATCAGACATGTTGGATTCCGTGTTCAATTTCCATGTTAGAATCGAAAGGCAAACAGGGCTACTCTTGAATATTGATGGATGGCAAACACCTCCACCTACTGCAAATCCTGATGAAAAGATGGGTTCTTGCTGTACCGAATCCATCGACCCTGCGATCCATCGAATCGACCATCCAGCGCAACCCGCAAGCCCGCATGGAACAAATGAACGACCCCGCCAAGTCTTTTTGGCCACTCCCAAGTGCTGGTGAACAGGATCAAGCCTGTTGAGCTATCGGTGGGATGGCGTCTATTTCTTGCCTAGCCTGGTGTTCGCCAGGAGTACATGGTTTTTTGATGGTTTTTGAGATGCAAACCATGATGCTCTGCCTCGCTCTACCCCCACCACCCACACACCGCCAGTTGAAGCTGCATTTTGACTTGTTCAAACATCCTCAAGCTCAAAGTTGTGCCGGGCATAAGGGCTGTTCTGAAATCGTTGCAACTTGTTGAGACATATTTGCCTTTGCAATTCCGGACAAATTCCTTTCACTGCCAGCAAACCTCTCACAAACATTCTATACCATTTGATGGGATGTAACTCTGCCCGGTGAAGTCTCACAGGATGTTGCATGGGCTTCGCCGCCCTGGCGGCCAGCTCTGAACGAAAAAGCTCCTGCTGAAATTGATGCATGTCTTGCCAGGGCCTCCGCTCGCAGTCTGACATATTCCACCACTTCATAGAGGCTTCCCAAAACTCCATGTTGAGTTCCATAAACTCAAGCCATTCTGATTCATTCCTGTCAAGCCCAAAAAATCCTGAAGCAGGATTCGCTTTCTGCAAGTCCGGGTCAAGTTGCAATGCCAGCATATCCTCCGGGGTCCTGTCTTGCATGAGTGATGGGGTGGTAAAATTGGCCAAATCAAGAAATCGACTGAAGTTCTCTCTTCCAACCTGACACTCCAGAAAGAGTGAATAAGCTGTATGCGGTGGTGGCAAGCTCCTTGGGTCTGCAAGAACATCTTGAAGGCTGTGGCGCTGTGCATTGATAAGGAACTCCACGTGAAAGAGAAACCGGTTTGCCCAGGAGACGTTTCTGGCCAGGGTGGCCATTTCGTCTAAGCCTGCACGGATCCTCTGCCGCCGAGGTGGCTCTGCAAATTGAAGATCATCAAGCAGATCTTGCAAAGGTGAGAAGGGATCCTTTGGCCTACTTTCAAAAGTAGCCAACTCTTCCAATGTGTGGCAAAGCAAAGTGAAGGCCTCTGGCAACCTCCATTCAAAGACAAAACCATGCAATGAGTACAACAAAATGGACTGCATGGCCATGCGCTTGACAAGATGTTCCACCAAAAAGCTTGGAACCCCAGAAATGTTTGCAAACGCTGCTTTGAGCTCTCGGATTGCCACTCGCGCTCCTGCATTGTCTCTCAGAAATTCCCCCAAGTCGGCATCGATCTTGGATCGGTTGTCCGATCCCAAGAACAACGGAAAATCCACAGCCGTCCAATCAAAATAGGAGGCGTTGCGAGGTACGAGTTCAATCAGAGTGGAATTGATTTGCAGTTGTACAGCGATGCGCCTCTCGGACAACTTGGCTTTCAATTCCATTTTCTCTTTCAGGCACTCCAGCAGTTTATCTCTGATGTTCGTTGTGACTGGAATTCCAGGCACTTCGAAGTAAAAGTCCCAATCACTCGAAGCTAGATCCGTCTTTCTGCTGCTTGAGCCTCCTGGAGTCAATATCACCTGCTGTCGAAAAAACTGGGACATGACAACCTCCAACTTCTGCATAATGTCCAAAGGCACCTCTGGGTGCAAATTCAATGGCTCCTCCGGTTGTGGAGCCTTTCCTCGAACTTTGAGCCCTAGCGATCGTTGTCGATTCGCCATGGAAGGGAGTGGTTCCAATCCTTGCTGAATAAGAAGCCGTGCCTTCACACAAGCAGGTTGATTGATCCACTCTTCCCTGTGAATGGATTCCCAAGCCCACACGGGCTGGGACATGTCGGCAAACTTTGGCAAAGGTAAAGTAACGTTGCCAAGAGTATCGAAATCACTCAAGGAGCCGCCCCTTGCAGAGGGTGGAGGAGACTCCGTCTCAAGACGATATCCGCTACCGCTACCCTGACTTTGGCTTCGTGAGCGAAGCAGTTCGGCCACTTCCTTCGACTTGGCCAGGTGCACGAGGGAGGTCTTAAAGAAAGCACTGTCGTTTTCGCTAAACCATTTGTAGCTTGATGTGTCAGGGAACTCTGAAAACGCCATTGCAGCCGGAGCGGCAAAAGGCAAATCAGGGTCTGCTCCTGCTTCTAGTAGCAATTTTACCAAAGGAACACTATCCTTGAACACAGCCATTGCCAGGGGTGCATTTTGGACACGATTGACTGTGGCTGTGGCATTGGCACCGGCATCCTGAGCTGGAGGAAACAACTGATGGAAACCATTCGCCTGTATCAAAAGTAATCTGAAATAGATCGAAATGCCAGGAACTGTTGTTTACTTTAGAGGCCGCCAGTTGTTTTTAGGAATGCTGCTCTCGAGCGGCGTTCCGCGAAAAGATCAGATTTTGCGGCACTGCGTGCAGATTTCGTGGTGCATAAGCCCACAAAGCCACAGCTTTAAGGACCTTGTGTGCTACATTGGCCAGAGACCGCAGCATGGATTGAGAATCTAGCCATCCACCACGGCAACTGGCAACTGTACATGCATCTTGATGGGGCACCTGCAGCAGTACAATGCCTACAATGCTCATCCTGCAGCAGCACAGTGCTCACAACACTGGCAGATTGCTCACAGAAGCCACCAAAAGCCGCGAAAAGACAACACACAGGCCACCAAAAGCCAACAGAAGCCACCAAAAGCGTGGAAAAAGGATGAAAAAGGATATTGTTTAAAAAAATACAAGTTCCTTTGCTTTGGAGGTGTGAGAACAGACTCCAAAACAAAATGAAAGTTCGCGATATTCTCCGTCTTAGTTTTGTCTGTGATTCTCAGCACCGCCAGGCGCTCAAAAGAATAGCCTTGTCCAAAATAGATCAAGAGCAGAAGAGCCGCCGGGTGGTTTGTATCGAATGCGTACTGTAGCAGTACGTCCCGCAGCAAGGATACCAACCGAAGGTCACCAAGCACTACAGCTATAGCAAGGGGATGCAAGGGGCCAAGTTTGGCAAAGACGGATCAGCAAACGGATCGGCCCATGTGCAGCATCTGGCTTGGAGGAGTTTCTCCAAAGTGTATACAGCAAGTGCTTCGTGGTGTAGCTTAACCTACCCTAATTACCCTTAGACTTCTCACAAAAAAATAAAGAACTTTCTCAGAAAACCCAAGGGCCAGGAGCTCTTTCACGGTGTCCCTCTCACCATCCAGAACTGCGTGGAACAAGTCAAGGTCCAAAGCAGCCTGCCACTTGTCGTCAGGTCCACTGAAACGGCCGCCTGGCTGTACCAAGCATTTGGTCAAGGGCTTTCCGCGCGTCAAAATGAATCTCAAGTTGAAGCTGAATGCTGTCTTATCAGGATATAGGTCAATCACCTATGATAGGCTACACCCATCACAATCTCACTGCTGGCTGCGAACCAACTTTAATGGGACGGTATGCTTGATCAGTGATTACCTAACGCAAGAGACTCCATAGGGATGGTAAAAGTGCCTAGGGTGCCAAGCATTCAGGAAGTTAAACAAGTTGATGTAAAAAAGGATGCAAGTCGCGATGAACCATAATGCCCCTGTGGATGGCTATCCATTGCAGAGTTGGATAGCCAAAAACCACCCATTCCTCATGGGACACTTGTGGCAGCTTGTGTCTTTTCACTTCTTTAGGTAACTTGGTGTCCCACAGCGCTTGATGCACTTGCTGTGTTTCGTGTGAACTGCTTTCTGTGTCGCATTTCCAAAGTATGTATGTATTATCCAAAAAGGTGGTTTAATCTAATCTTTACATAATCCCAAACGATGCCTGGATGATGTCCGGACGATGTCTAGACGATGCCCAAATCGAGCCATTTCCTACCTCTGCCCTACACACCAGCTGCAAACATGCTTTTCGTTCAGGGCACAGTTATCGAATCCAATGGTTCAGAGAGGATCTGGCAACAAACAGGTGAAAGCCCATTATGCATAGAAATTCCAAGTTCAAAAAGTTCGCGTTGCAATACAAGATGCACCGATATTCGTGCTTGCATGGGCACGCAAGTACGACGGTCACGTTCTTGGATCAAACGAACGTGCTTTCCTGTCATGTTCCGGCACTCAAACTGCACATCAACTGTTCACAGGATGGTTTCACATCGGTGTTCTTTCATTGATGCATGGCTGCAGCTTATTCCTTGTATTACATCACTGATCGCATCTAATAGATCCTGTAAGTCTTTCTTAGCTTGTAGGTCACGTAAGCCTTTGATGGAAGTGACCATATTTGGGGTCTCTTTGTCTTCGGTGATGGTCAAGATCTAAACTAGGTGTTGATTAGCAAGGCACAAGCGCGAGGAACTGCCAGGTCATTTGGTCTGCTTCGAGGGTTCAAAGCCCTCAGTAGAAATCCCAGCGTCAGTTGACCTTGGCAGCCACTGGTTGTTACTCAGCGGTGAGGTGCTTGAAAAAAATCCCGAGGAGGAGTGATGTTTTTTGTTGAACATTGCCATTAACTGAACCCTCAATAGGACGGTAGATCAACCAACCCACGAGCAAACCCCTTGGCTTTTGTTGGCTTTTGCGTGCGAACTGGGGTACTGCCGGTACTGGGTGAAGGGGTCCGCACCCGACTTGCAGTTTCTTGGATCCTCCATTCGTGACTCACCACTGATGGAAATCATGTCTTTAATCCATTTCTGGACAAAAAAACATCAAACCTTGCACCGCAAGTCACTACTCCTGATTCACCCCACCACGTTTCAGAAAAAGAAGGGTGCGGGGCCCTTCTTTGCAGGTCAGAGCGGCCACATCCCATCGCCAAGCCCAAAGCCAGCAGGGTATATCTCTTTGGCACTCGACGTTGGCAGTGTGAGCCCTCATGAATCATGGCTCCGGACGAGAGAGCCGGAGTGTCCAATGAGAATCAGTAAAGGCAGCTGGCAATACCCATGTTGCCCCAGCTGGAAACATCCATGTTCATGGACTTGTTCTGAAGCAAAGTCTGGATTCCCCAACTGAGCTTGATGGATCATATGTCCCCTGGCTCGACAGCTTCGGAAAATAAGCTTCGCAGCTGCACGTCTTTCCAGCTTCCCCCAACTTTGATGTCAAATGAGCCAAACAAGGACGCTACTAGGGGCTCCTGGCCTTACTACTAGGAACAAGCTATTAGGGCTCCTGGCATCGCTACGAGCAAGAACGCCACTAGTAGCTCCTGGCCTTACTAACATCCAGTCACTGGTGGAAGACAAGATTGATACAGTAATTATATACCTCTCTTCTCCCCACCTCCTCTAGGGTCTTTTGTGACATGCAGTGCCCAACCGATACGTACATAACATGTTGTCAAAACTTTCATCAACAATTTTGAGCGTATCTCAAAGCTGGCAAAGCTCCTGGTGCCAAGTGCCGAGTGTGGTGTTCATCCATTTCCCCTGCAAAAAGCAGGAAGAGTTTTCCGAAAACCAAGCCTCACAAAACCTCCTGAGTCCAAAAAGAAAGCTGGTTCCAAATGTGGATTTATCAGGGGCCATGGGCACCTCCTACCTTGGTCCTTTTCACTGCTGAAGCCGCTAGCGGAGATCTACAGATCGCCTACAGCCAAAGTACTTGGATTCTCTAACAGCATCACCCTCTATCCCCTTCCGAGTGCGAAAAAAAAATGGATCTACCAGCCGCTGGATGTCTCCCAGAACCAACCAAAGCACCCCAGATCCGAGCAACCCAACCTTCCCAACCGCCGCAGAATCCGCCCCCAACCGCGCCGATCGCTCGCCTCGAAGCGTGTCAGAGCGCCGTCCCAGCGCCGCGCCGCGTCGATCCTGCGGGTCGTTTCGGAGCTCGTAGGGAGCAGCGTGGCGAGTTTGGGAGGGCAGGCGGAAGCTGCTTTTGGAGTACATTGGAAGCCAGATCGTTGGATTTGCAGGCGTCAAGCAAATCGAAGATAGGATGGGGCAGAATAGAAACCAAGCATTCGCATGCATTCGCCAGATTGAAAGAATGTTTACAGATTCTGTTGAAGAATCGCAAGGCCACTAGCTACGTGCACATGGTTTTGACCGGCTCGAATGATCAAAATATGTCACCTCTCTGCCCCAAACCGTATCTGTCTGCACCCAGAATATGTATCAGTCCCACTACAATCACCTGAAAGTGTGCGAAATTCGGACCTAGAAAGGTCTTTCTGAGAATGGCGCCAGTCATTCCGGACATTGTGCGCTGCAACACGTGCAAAAACGCATGTTAAAAGACTTGTTTTGGGGATCCGCACGGGTCATCGAGCTTGCAAGACCTTGCAGCCAAGATGGAGAGCATGGGCAGCCCAGTGCAAATGCATCGAATCAAGCACTCAGATTTGTTGATAGATGCTGTGGCATGCTCCCCAACTCCCCAACTCAACAAACAAGACTGCAAAAACACTCCACCCACGGGCGTTCGCAGAGAGGCACCACCCACAAGCCAGGGTCAAAAATGACGAACTATTATTGTAGTACAATGTAGTATATACATAAGAATAGTTACTCCGTGTTTGAAGCTCATGCTTGGAATTTCTAACCCTCGGATTCCCGCCAAACCCACTGGTTGTCTTGTTCAATGTGCATCCTTGCTATCAACAAGTATTGTAGCCATGAATGTCCACCTCCATATATGACACTTCAGAGTGAGCACATAAAAGCCCTCCCCTGAGTGCAACCACCACTTCAAGAACCATCCATATCTTTGCCACTTACCTTGCCAGTTGAAGACATCAAACAAACATGTAGACCGTAGACCATTCAAAATCCATGTATATATATATATATAAATCCACCTCAGACGCATGCAAGGTTCATCCAAACCACCAGAACATGTCCACCATCCAAACCCATCGACATCTCCACCCTCTTGCGCGCCCCTGCTCAATGAGCTCCAAGAGCTCTCTGTCTCGCTCTGAGGCCGGAGGAGCCTCGAAGAACCTGTGCCATCCCAACATGTCCCAACATGTCTCGACAAGGCAGCTCCACCCAGTTTGCTTGGGATTTGAATTGGAATTTGCTGGCCTCCCCGTTTTGGAAAACCAGGGGCAGTGCAGTTCTTCCATCTTCCTTCAGCAGCTAAGCATGTTTTAATGGACTTGAAGACGAAGGTCACACAGCCTGAGGTGCTGCTGCCTTGAACAGAAACAGGTCCAGCTAAACGCTTGGTCCACGGGTGACAAGAAGATGGACTAGAGGGGCGGTGGGTCCTCACAGTCGCTGACCCGACTTTCCCAAAAAGGTCAAACATGACAGCACGGCGCTTCTTCGATCTTTCATTTGGGCCATCTACTTTGAACTGTACAGAACCTGCCTACGATCAAACAACATCCCACCACCTTCCCCAGAAACACTACTCCAACCGACACCAGCCCGGCCTCAAAAAATGACTCAACCCACCCGCCTTTCTTCCACGGCGGTCGCCATCATGGCAGATTCCACCAGGCTCAGCTCTGTCCAGGTCCTGCAATCCACCTGGCCACAGCAACCAACGCCAATGGATTCAGGGAAAACAAGCTGGTCTGAGGAATTCTGGGAGTGACATGCAAAATGGGTACAGAGAGAAGCTGGACCATTTAGACCAAGACCATGACTCAGTAGTCCTCCTAACCATGGTCAAGTGAACGACTTGTTTAAGACCAAACGGCAGGACAGGCACGTGGTGCAAAACACACGAGGCAACACGACACGTTCCTTGCCTTCTCTTCCAAGTCCTCAAGCTCTTTCTTCATGTCCTCCGACCCGGGACAGAGCGGCTCACTCCGTCCAGGCCGGCGCTTGGGACGGGGATCCGAACTGGACGAAGGTCGAACCGGGATGAAGGTCGTACGACTGGAAGTTGTACAGTTGGAAGGTGGCGAAAGCTTTCCCAAATCCATCCAAATCCTGCGGTTTTTTCAGCAAAGAACCAAAGAACCCATGACAGCAGTCCACTCCGTTCGTTTTGGGCGGGTACAAGTAGCAGGGTCCCGGGGTTCTTCCCATTCATGCTGTGAGATGTTTGAATTTATCCCCTCAAAGCCATCCGACTGTGTGTCCCGGCAAAGGCGCCAAGGATGCATGAAAAATGGGAGACGAGAGGGAGAGGCGCTGTCATGGAAAACTCTCCTCCGTGAACCGAGGAAGTAGAAAAACCCATATCTTGTGCCAGTGCACAACAGAGACTTTGGGGTGAGCAAGGAGTCCAGGAGGGTCGAGTGAGGCGACCTGTAGGATCTCTCGACGTAGGTATCACCGATGAACGTCGTGGATTGACGAGCAACTAGTGGATTGGATAGCGGGGACAATGGCAAATCACCTCGCCATAGGCCTCAACCACTGGATCTTCTCCGACTTTGGAGGATTTCCTCCACCACCACTCTCACATACTCTCACCACTCTCTGCTTCCTCCGCTTCCGCACCTCCTCAGTGGCTGGCTGCCAGGTCTTACCATTGGGAGACCGCCCACTCAGAGGGGAGGCCGTCAGCGCTAAGACCTCAGGGCCGTCAGGCCGGTGACGCCGACCCCACGTGTCGGTCCGGCGTCAAAGCGTGCAGTTGGTCGAAAGGCCACGTGTCGGTCCACCGAAAAAAGAGGTCTATCAAAGGGAGAACAAAAACCGTGTGTGGTTGCTGTGGGTGATGGATGGTGATGGATGGTGATGGATGGGTGATGGATGGTGATGGATGGGTGATGGATGGTGATGGATGGTGATGGATGGTGATGGTGTTAGCCTTTGCTTTGAGTTAAAGAGTAAACCAGTAAACCCATCAATGCCAAGAAGCACTGAGAACGGTGTCATTGGTGTAATCAGATGACTTTCACGTTCTCTTACAACATGTGTCAAAACTGGGCTCCCTCGTTTTCACTCAAACCGTTTCATTGGGAAAATGGTAAGCACATGTAATTGACTGTAATTGCATCACTCCGGGTATCAAGTCTTGGAGATATGCCCACACACGCGACAGGTGGATCTGAGTCCCAGTGGCTCTGGGCCTTTGCTCCTGGGGCACAGCACCTGGCTGCTCATCAGATCATCAGATCTCGTGATGCAAGTGCTCCGTGAAGAAGGAGACACCAATACACACAGAATATCACTTATAGTTGTTAAAAATCCCTGTTTTGAGACCAAGCATGACCAATCAATAGGATATCTATTTGGTGGCCTTTATGTTCGGAAAACAAGGGCCCAAAAAGTATGGATTCTCAACCCTGCTTCTCAAGACAATGATCTGGCTAATTCATACGCCTGCGTGTCCGTGTGTATCTTTTAGACGTTGAGACAAAAGGAGTTTTTAGCCACCGGTGTTTTGCAATTGTTGATACATATACATATGCGACTTGGGCGCCACGTCGTCCCAACACAAGCTCAGGCCGCTGTAGAAACGACTCATCAGGATGGCATATTCCTAGCGACTGCTGCGCATTCCGAAGCGTCGGAATGGCGGTTCTTCAGCTGTGGACGAGGGCCGTGGCGTGGTACGAGGGCTGTAACGCCCGAAGGGGTCCATCCGCCGAGGCAGCGAGGTAGCCGGTCGGATGACATACTTCACACAAAGGTATGGTCTCGTTCGACGTCAAAGCGGCCGGCATGCCCACAAAGGAAGAAGATGAGAAGAAAAACAGTCATGCTACATGAGGAGACAACTGAATCGCATCCAACATACAAAGTTCCGTAGACAACTCATGATGCTACCTCATGAATTCAGAAGCTTCGCGCAACCACCAATCACCATCCCAAACCTGCAGTAACCCAGATCAGAACCACTTCAGCATGCCGAATATGCACAACTTGCTACTCACCCACTTTCGATGGCTAAAGCGGCTCAAAGCAGTCTTTTTGCGGGCGAGTCGGGCAAAAGCGACTTGGGAGACCCGGCAGATGTGCCCTT